GCTGATTGTGCCCTTTAGGTCTTCTGTATCTTTGCTGAGTTTCTTTTTAGATGTTCTGTCCTTTACTGAGAGTGGTGTGTTGAAATCTTCTACTATTATTGTGGAACTGTCAATTTCTCTTTTCAGTACTGTTAGAGTTTGTTTTATGTATTTTGGAGTCTTGTCATTGGGTGCGTAGATGTTTATTATGGTTATGTCTTCATGATGGATCCCCTTACTCATTATATAGTGTCCTTCTTTGTCTTTTATGGTGGATTTTGTTTTAAAGTCTATTTTATCTGAGATTAATATTGACACTCCTGCTCTTTTTTGGTAGTTGTTAGCTTGATATATTTTTTCCAACCTTTGATTTTTAATAAGTTCACATCTTTGTTTCTAAGGTGTGTTTCTTGTAGACAGCATATTGATTGATCCTGTTTTTTTAATCCATTCTGTCACTCTCCATCTCTTTATGGGTACATTTAGGCCATTTACATTTAGTGTAGTTATTGATAGATGTGAGTTTATTGCTGTTATTTTGTAGTGCTTTTTTATTTTTGTGGTGCTGACGTTTTCTTTGTTCCTCTTGCTCTCCTGTGCTGAATTCCTTTTGTTTATGGATTTTTTTTCATTTCTTTTGTTTTTGTAGGTTTTGTTTTTACTGAGACATTTTGTTTTTCTCTTTATTTTTATGAGTATCTTTATTAACTTTCTTTGTGATTACCATGAAATTTACCCTTGTCCTTCTTAGTTTGAAGCAGTCTATTATTAGTTTGTATCACCTTGTCTTCCTGTCCATTAGAAGGTTCTATTCCTACACTGTATATTACCTCTTTTATTGTTGTGATGGTATTGTCAATTACAGATTAACTGCTCTGATTCCCTGTTGTATTTCTTTTGGTTTTGGATAGTCCTTGACAGTTCATTTCCTAGATTGGTATCTGGATGGTACACACCTGCATCCTAGATTCAGCCTGTGAGCTGAAGTTGTTTGTTCTCAGACTGAAGGACTCCATTTAATAATTCTTGTAAGTTTGGTTCTGTTTTTACATATTCCCTTAATTTCTGTTTATCTGGAAACGTCCTAATTTCACCATCATATTTGAACTAGAGTTTTGCAGGATATGTTATTCTTGGCTGGCAATTTTTTTCTCTCAAGGTTTTGCATATGTCATCCCATTGCCTTCTTGCCTGCATGGTTTCTGCCAAATAATCTGAGCTTAGACTTTTTCGTTTCTCCTGTGTGTGACTTCTT